CACCAATTACGTATTAAAATATTGATTATGTGAAAAAATTATGGTGGATATATTTTTCGATAGTTTCATACGGTTCATTTTTCCATTTCATTTTTTTTTTGTTCGTTCATAATGTGACGCCTTAGCTTGACGGCTGCGACTTCAAATGAAAAATACGCACACTCATGCAATTTCTACATCGAAACGAAATGCGAAAGTGTTTTTTCTTGTGCGTGTGTGTGTGCGTTTGCTGTATTTAAGCCGCATTTTTTTCAATTTCATTCTACCTAACCAAACCAGAATATTTGTGAATCGTGTTGTTTCGATTTATTGAGTCATTGTTTTCATTCGTTTTGTTTTTTGAAACCGTTTTATTTTTCTATCAGAATCTATTGTTATTTAGTTTGTTTTTGTCGGATTGTAATCTCAAAGAATCCAAACGAGAAAAAAAGACGGCCGTTTACGCGCTAGAGTGGTGTGATTAGTTGCCTATACATTATAAATCATTTTTCGAAATTTCATTTGGAAATCTTGTTCTCTTGGTCCGGTGATGAATGTGTGCGTGAAATGGTCAACTTCATTAGCCAAAGAGCCTCGGCGACTAGAGAAAGATGAAAAAAAAAATAGAGACCTAAAGCATCTTTTTGACATTTTTTTTCTGTTTTCATGTGATTCTCTTCACAGGTTTATGCTCAGCCGTCATACGCACAGGACATTCAAATGAATGCCGTAAGAAAGATAAACAGTTTACTATCGAGTGGAACAGTGAGCGTCACTGGTCCATCACAGACTCGAATAATGAAGCAACAACAGCCAGCGCAACCAAAAACAGTATTTGTACAGAAGGGCGAATGCTATATCTGCGATGAGCATATCGGTAATAATGGCACACTTGTCACCGAAGCCTTTACAACTGCATCAAATACAAAGATCCCAACGAAAATTGGCCGAATCGTTGGCGACGCATTCATGGTCATCGTCAGTGTGGACGATGTAATTTGTAAGCGATGCTTGACCATGTTCAACCAAATGGATCGGCTGGAAACAGATTTGGATCGTGTCAAAAGCAACATTTTGACATTAATTAATAAGAAATATGGTATAAATGACAACGGTAATGCTGGTGCAAGCAGCACAAATGTTGTTGACATTAAACCGCCCCCTGCCAAAGTACAGAGGCTCAACACAAGTGTTGGTACGATCAATGCGAATTATACGAACCGAAAGACGAGCAACGGTGGCGATGCCGAAGATGACACCCGAAAAATAACGACCGTACCATTGTTGCAGCCCATCCAGTCACAGCCAGTGAATCAATTCGCCGGTGGTCAACGTATAGTGAGTGTCAGTGCAAGTAGTGATGCCATCGATGGCACAATTGCCGGATTGTACGAGACGGCGCAACAGAATAACTTTGGTCAAACACAATTGGTGCGGCAAGTAAATGTAAGTCATGTTATTTTAGCCTCTCGAACCCTTCATTTCATTTCATTTATTTTGTTGATCAAAAATGGATGTTTGAAGTCAATTTCGATTCACCATTTGAAATGTGCAATGAGAATCATTTGGGCCGGTAGAAAAATGTGTGGCACTTGATCCATTTTGTATCTCACTTGATTTTTCTCTTTCAAGCCGACGCCACTGTGCGTGTGTGTGCATTCATTTTCTGTTTTACTCATTCACTCATTCTGCTCCAACAATGTTTTATCATTAAACGAACGCTGTGGTTCTTTGACATTTTCAGCAACAGGCAGCATCCACGCAACGGAAACCGATCAAGATTTACAAATGCATGTCGTGCGATTTTAAAACAACCGATATCAAACTATTTCAACCGCATTATGATACATGCCGACAGCAGAACGGTTATCGTTGCAAATTGTGCAAAAAGCTCTTCACTAGCGTGGTCGCCTTGAAGGCACACAACGTCGAAAAGCATGCAAGCGAATTCACATGCAGTATATGCAGCATAAACTATATGAACGAAGCCACGTACAAGAAGCATATGGAAACTAATCACCCGGATATTAAAACGATCGAAACATCGACAGCAGTGGCTAGCGGTAAGTGACAGTCACCACCAATATCTCCATACCATCCCCATCTTGCCCTGTTCCTGCTGTTATGTTTCGCCTTCTGATCGAATAATCAGATGCTGCCATGATAGAACAGAGTCAAACAATAAATGTGAATAGCAAATGTGAGTGACATGTTTATGATAAATGCTTTATTCTGTACCGTAGGTCAACTGTATTCGTGCAATATTTGCACTTTTAAAACGTATGAGAAAGGTGTATTCGAAGCGCATTCTCGAAAACATGTCAAGGTAAAGCCATTCAAATGCCGCATTTGTTCAGCGCGCTTTGAGACCAGAGAACTAGCCGGCGTTCATGCAAAGACTCATTGTCCCGACTTCTTCAAATGCGGAACATGTTCGATGACATTCACACAAAAGGTACGTTGAACAATTTTACAAAACACAACAAATAAAACTAAGAAGAGAACAACTCTCAACGCGTGTCAACGCACCCAAACAACCCCATTGATATGCTCATTCTCTTATCGATCTTTGCAGGATCTACTTGTAAAACATTTCGAGACACATAAGCCACAGCAGCAAGTCGGCCAGAAGCAACAGATCGTGTCGCAAATACAGACGTCACAATTGACGCAACCAACACAAATTGCCGTGTCACAAGATCTCACCACTCAAAAATTGTTACAAGATACAATCGATGAGGCATTGCGAGAGACTGGCGACGCTGGCCCCAAAATTAATTTCTATTCGTGTCACATTTGTTCGCTTACATTTATCCAGGAGACTTATTACAAACAGCACATGGAGACTCACAAGCGTGAGAGTAACAAAAAAACCGGCTCACAAGCCGTTGCCGTTACAACGTCAACCGTTTCGAATACACATAGTCTAATACGAACCGATCAACGGGTGGCGAATACACCGACCACAATCATTCAAACACAGACAAACACATCTATATCGGACAATGATTTAGAAATCATGTTCGAAAAAATGCATTCAGACAAAGCGGAAATCGAAGGAAATGCCAACAATACCGAAGGCGTGGTGATAACAAGCCACGAAAGTTCGACCGGTGGATACACATTCAATATCACCATGGCAAATCAGCAGGATGCCACAGCCAACAATATCGACGTAGAGAATGTAAGTATCGTTAGAGAGTGCAAAATGTCAACGCAGTTATCGCATCCGGTAGTTTCGGGTTAATTTAATTTTATTCCATTTTCCTTTCAATTTTATCATTAGAAGAACAAACAAGAGGGCAACGAGGGTTTGACGCCAGTTACTATCGATATGCCACAATTGGATCAAAGCGATGATCATCAATTGGAACTTCAACAGCAGCAGCAACAACAGCAACAGCCTGCCGACCAAGAGCAACAAACAAATTCAGAACAACAGCACCAAGAACATTTGGATAACGAACAGGTAACAAGAGAAATCGATAGAGAGAATGAAAAAAACGCGCAACGCGAATCACAAAACCAAGCAAAATCGTGCATTATTAATTATAACACATCGATGTGTGTGTGTGTGTGTGTTTATTTGTAGAAACTCGCACAGGGTGTTTCCGTGAGTATGCCAAGTTTAGACGACGATGCGGATGGAAGCCAACCGTCAAGTAGTGATCAGGTGCCGATGGACCTGGACGACATTCAAAATGCGGCCGAAAGTGGTCAAATCAAATTTATATTGAACGAAAATGGTCAATTGTTGCAATTGGATAACCACATTCTAACCACCGATGCGGAGGGTAATCAAATTTTGGTGCAGGATAGCGAACAGATTCAACAGCTATTGCAAAGTGTTGGCGTATTACAAGCGTCAGACGGTGAAGGTGGCGAGCAAACGTTTCAAATGATTCAAGGCGAAAATAATCAGATGATCTTAGTGCAAGGCGATAACAATGAGGCCCAATTAATCGATGCCTCAATGCTAAACGAAGATGGTCAATTAGTTATCCAACATCATGGCGATCAATTGCCCGAAGGCATGCATGTAGTTAATGAAGATGGTGTCCAAGTGCCGGTATCAATAGCATTCGCCCAACATTTAGAATCGGCCGCCGTTGAACACCATCAGCAGCAACAAGAGCAACATGAGTTGCAGCACCAAGAGGGCGAACATGAAATTGAACAAAAGTCCGCACATCACCAAGATCAGCAACAACATACCGAAGAAATCGAAGCCGAACAAGCGATCGCCATCAAATCCGAAGACACGTCATCGCAAGACGGCGACCAGCAAGCGGCCACTGAGGCTGATTCAGGTGAATGGCAATGAGACAATTAGGTTAACTACTAAACTTACTACTATTTTGCACTTATCTTTGAAGCGGTTCGTTTGAAATCGAAATTGATTATTATGTTTCGGTGGAGGGGGCGGGTGTTTTAAATTAACATTTGGTTTCTCTAAATGGGCAAAAGTCATGGCAGAGATAATAAATTTTCAACCGAATCGCTTCAGACTCCATTTAAACGCTTGAACTTATTTTTACTTACGACACACTTTTTGTATCCGTCTAGGTATCACTACGGTTACAACATCGACGAGAGCACCAGTGACATCAACAACGGGCGAAGTATATTTCAGTTTGGATGAAATTATAAATCAATCAGAACAAAAGGTAAGTACCATGTCTTAATCGCCATTCCAGACATTCCATTCATTGGATTCATTGTGAAACAAAAATCCGAACAACTGACAAACATACACCTTTCATTTTTATTCCAGTAATCGCAACAAACACCGATGCACTGACCTGCCCTTTAAGCTTTCGACTTTTAAGTAGCTGTTAGTATTATTTTTTATCAAATTTTAGAAAAACTCGTCGTTGCAAAATTATAAACAAAACAACAAATGCTAAACAAAGAATTTAGTGGAAACAATACAAAAAAAGCGATCCATGTTTTGATTGTCATAATCAAAACGGAAATGAGAATAAAAGAGAAAAAAAAAATACAAAAACACACACAAACACATTTTAATCAGCTGAACTTCAAAATGTATTGAAATGAATATGAAGCCAGATAGATTACTGTAAACCAAGGAATGTACGTTCTTGTGAATCAGTGATTATTTTTCGATAAGAGAAAAGCAAATGAAGGAATAGAATAACAATATAGACATCAAATCAATGGTCCAATGTGCTGTTGTTTGCTTGGGCTCGTTTTCTTTATATTAAATGTATTTGTCGAAACAAATGATGAGATGAATGAATGAGAGAAACAACAATAACAAAACATGAGTAAATTAGAACAAAAACGAAAAATGCAAAAAAAAAATCTTTAAAACATACAATAATAAACCTACATGTTATATTTTTAATTGAAAGAAAAATGAGGAACGTAACGAAGAAAATTTTTTTTGGAGAGATTTATGGTAAATTTCAATGTACACACAAAAGAAAAACCACAGCATACACACAATAAATAGACAAGCCCAAAAGCTAAAATGATATGGAAAAACCAACAACAACAACAAAATAATTAGACATATAGTATAGCATTAAAAAGAATCCAGATCAAGGATACATTGTAAAAGTGTAATTTCGGGTTATGAACTAACAACAACAACACAAAACAAATGGCAAATGAATCGACAGAGTAACCAAAATCGATTGAATATGATAACTTCAAGCGATCAAGCATATTAGTTTAAAAGAAGAAGAAAAAAAAAGCAAAGAAAAGGCCAAACCGAATGCAATTTACGTCTCATCGCGCCTTTCAGCATCCACACACATACATACAAACACACCCACACCCACACCCACACCCATCTCGGTCATCTTCAATTGGAACGAATCAAACCAGACACACAAACACACTTCCCCAAGTTCATTTCATTTGCTTCAACTAATTTGTTAATATATATAAATATTGTAATTCGGTTCTTTGAATTGCGGAAGATACTTTCGCTCTATCACGATCCACAACACATGAACACACCCAAGAAACAAAAAAATGAAGAAAAAAAAACAAACAAAATGATAATGAAATATAGATATAAAATCCGCTAAAACATTATATTAATTTATATATAAATTAATAACATAAAAAAACACACAGATAGAGGAGAAGATTTAAACAAAAAAAAGATGAATCATTAATGTTTGAAATAAGTAAAATTACGTTTAAGTCAGAAACTAAATGATGATGATGATGAAACACTGAAGTGAATTAGAATTTAAACAAAGTTATTTTGTTAGCGAAGAACAGAGAGACAGATAGAGAACGTATGTATACAACCATATTGTGTATTGTATGGATGAATCAAAGCAAAATGGAGGGTAATCATAGCGAAGATGAATAAAAAAAAATATGAAACAAAATATTAACGATTCAAAGCCTGCAAAAGATGAAAATTCAACAGCAACAACAAGAAAAAAAAACAAAATTATTAACAACAATATTGATAATTATATGAAAGCGAGAGAATCTAGCGTTTAGTTTACATTTAAAGAAGAAGAAAAAAGCAGAAGAGAAAGGAAAAAATGTAATCGACAGATTTTTAATAATATTTTAGTTTATTAATAAACAAAAAAAAAATGATATACAAAATAAAAATAAAGCAACAAAAACAAAAGTAAAACGATTGTTTCTATTGTCAATTTGGTGTACGCCAGTCGAACTTATTGGAAAATGGCGCTACCACATTTTTGAACTCGTGACTCAAATAACTCGTTTTTGACCAAACAAATGCTCTTTTTGTCTCGTTTGATCACATGGTCTGTATACGTACGCGTGTTCTTCCGGCCAATTCGATTAGTATTAATAGAATCGATTAGACATTCGAATATTTTAATAAATTTACTGGCAAAGCCTGTGTCTCAATCGCACAAACAATGTGCATGGTAATATTTCAAGTCAAGTCATTGGGACATCGAGACATTGCATCATAATCATGAATGAAAACTTTCACTCTCTTCTTCAATAGACGCCCAAAACAGCCTCTCTGATCGTCTGTACAAATAGATAGGAAACGTCAAATAAGAACAATAAAGCGGCACCTGGCTGGTTGGAGAAATAGATAATCATGCACATAGTTTGCTGTAACAAGTATGCGTCTGTGTTAGTTCAAACGTTGAAAGTATGACACATTGCACTTAGTCCCCAGGTGCCGCTGTATTGTTTATTATTTTCATGATCAGAAAGGCTGGCCCAAAATAACTTCGTTATGTGAAGATTTGATAAATTTCGAGATGGATTCAAACAATTTCGAGTATTTTGAAATATTTCTGATTTTCATTGGCCGCCACATTGCATTGAATTTTTACATTAACACATTAGATTGAAAAATCGGTGGCAATTTTTGGTGCTCGTACGGTGGTCACATATGCTACAGTACGAATGTCAATAAATTTGAAAATTCAACATGCAACAGTGAGTCATTTTCGAATTTCGTGCTGTAACTCGTATGTGCATTCATTTGGTTTTCGCAAGCGTACGGTATATAATGCGTGCGTGTACCATAAAAACTTAATTGATTCGTGTTTTGCATGCTATTTCCTTTTTATTAAAACTCGATTGCCAGAAGAGTATATTTCTCTTCGGTTCTTTTTCTAGTAGAATTTTGTTCAAGTAAAGAAAATCGAAAATTGCTTATTTGACGACATGAATTAGCGACGTTTTTTTCCTTTAAAGTTTGATTGCAAATGCTAGTTTATGGTATGAATTTTTTATATTCAAATTCATGGCGAGAAGAAAACAAGACCGCAGATCGTCGCTTCGCTCCGCTCTGCATTCTTGAAGCTTGTAAATTTAAGGGGTTTAATTAATTTGATGTTTCTCATCAAATTATTATCGTAAGCACTACATGGAATGTAGTTTTAATCGTTTTGTATGCAAAATTTTGTCAAAAATAATTAAAAAAATGTATATGATAAAATTGTATTCTTCAATTATTGTTTTAATGTACGTTCAATGTGAATGGTCATCGTACATTATTTTACGTTCGCAACGAAAAAAGTGCCATTTTTTTTTGAGTTATCTCAAAATTGAATTACATGAATATGATATTATTTCATTTTTGCAATGAGGCGTAATTGTTTCAATTGAAATAAAAAATATGGATAATAAAATGAATTATTAGTTTACGGTCCAAAAAAATGGCGTAAAGAGTCTTAAAATTTTCTCGGAAAAAAAAAACAACTAGAGTAGTCTACATTCCATGTAGTGCTAAAAAACGGGTAAATGCGATTATACACGTATCAAATGCTGCTATCTTAAAATGTCGTAGTTAAAAGCACGTGACTGTTTTTCAAGCAATTACTATTCGAATATATATAAGTGAGCGACAAAATTATTCATGCCATGAATAATCATAGGTCGTTGCTAGAATAGGTATAGACCGTGCGACGAGAGACTCGGGAGCGAAATTCAAATGTGCTTATCGGCTGATTCGTGCATGAATAGAGAGACAAACGACTCCTTATAGATACACGTCCATTTTGTTAGATGGCACCTGTGGTGCAAAATCTGCGGATTTTGCACATTTGTCACACACGCATCTACACATACACACACACACCACAAGTTCATTGTCAACTGTCAAACATTGGTGTGCATTGTTTACTAGTCAAAATTGATCGGATTCAATAATGATAAGCTCAGTTTGCTACCTGACTGAAAAACTAAATTAAATAAATTAAAAGTGCAAGTGTTTTGCCGACATGTGAAACCATTTGCAAAATTGTGAAACAACGCAACCGAATGAAAGCAAAATCAAATGTATGTTAATGAGATTTGATCCATGTGTGTTATCGATTTAATTTTACAAAAAACGAGAATGTCGTGATTAGTATGTTGTATGTGCTTCTAATTCTGAATAGTAAGATATTGTGCAAAATTTGAAATCTACTTCAGTCATAGCGTTATTCATTACGATTCTTACAAACGCAAGCCATAGCCATAGCCATTGCAATGGCCATATAAGGCTGATAGAGATTTATATTGGTTGAAGGTGTCATTGGCAAAATCATAGACCATTGAAGAGTGCTGCGAGTTTCATTGAAAAAGAAATAACAGTAAAAAGTCCATTCTGATCAGAAAATTGTGTAAACATTGTCGACAACAAATGTGATGCGGCCAAAATTATTTTCAGTTTCATGTGAATTCTTTTCTATTTTCAATTATCTTCAAATTTCATTCTTTTATCAATATCTTCCGTTTGTGACTTCCTCTTGTAACCAGGGACTTGATGATATATCAGTTTAGAATGCGTACTTGATTTTTTTTTTTTAAATTTTGAAAAGCAAAGATTGACCATAGTTATTTCCGTTGGATAAGCAGTTATAGTGTAAATTATCTGTCGAAAATGAAGAATGATATAAGTGAAAACGCATGAATATCCTTCGTCCGTTGAGAATATGCTAAACAAATCAATATAGGTTTAAAAGTGGATTTTCACTCTATCGCGTGGAGTTTTTCATTTTATTCACAAAACATAAAATATTCGGAAAAAAAGAAGAGAATTGTGTGTATTATACGAAATCATGCGATATATAGGGAAAAAAGAAGAAGTGTATAGTTTTATTGTAGTGCAGAAGAGTCCACACGCTTCATATACCGACATGCGAGTATTTTCTTTCTGATTAAATCTAGTAGAAAGAGAAGCAGTTATGCGCAAAGCCGCAACGAATTTGAGCGCTGTGAATAGAGAAGAATACGTAAATAGAACACAGGGAGAACCGTCGTTGCCGCCGCCGACAATGACGACGACGACGACAACAACAACAACAGCAGAAGCAGCAACAGCGTGCGCTAACAAAATGAGAGATAGATAAAGAGAGAGAGAGAGAGAGAGAGAGAGAGAGAGAGAGAGAGAGAGCTCAATCCCAACACATGCAAGAATATCCGTTCTTGCTGTTTCATCGTACACATGAGACAGACTACAAACATCAAAAGCAAAACTTATTCGGCATCGAGCTATCGCATTCATTAACATTTTAGCAGCCAAACGGCTAGTGTTGAAGCATTTTGTTGTTATTGTTGATTTTAATTCGTTTCTTCTTTTTATTTGCCTTCTGTATTGCTGCTTGAGTTCTCGTCGTCTCATTGCGATCGGTTTCTTTTTTCTCAAGTTTTTCGTTTGATTTTGGACATTTTCCGTTTGTCGGTCATTATTATTCGTGGAAGATTTGTGCAAAAGAAGCAGAATATCGTGAGTATCATGTTTGTTGAACAGAGAATCCGAAATTCAGTGCTTAAATTATATAAATCAAGAAGGAGAAATTATTTATGAAATGCCGAGCCGACTGATAATCAACGAAGCAAACCGAAAAAGCAAATATACCAACAACATTGGATGCATTGAGGCATTTGGCATTTCCAAATACCGGGATTCATAAAATTCCATGGAATTGTTGGAGGTCGTGACTGCAAATGATTTGCAGTTTGTTTGTTTCGTGTATTCGTGTGTGCATGTTTGTTCACATTGATTTTATCAATGGCGAAAAGACAAGCGATTAGGAAGAGTGGTAAAAAGAGATAATAGCGGTTGGCTGTTCCTCTTTTTCTTTGGTTGTATGATTAACCAACTTCTTGGGAAAATGCAGACAATTAATGTCAACGATTCTTGAAAAACCTGCCAAACAAGTCGAATTCTTTCCATTTCGTAGTCCCTTTTATTGTTTACTACCACAACAAGCAAACCCATCACTATGAATTCATTTATAACAGAAGCAACAACGAATGAATTAAAAAACATACACAGCAACATTAAGCATTGCAATTTTCCATTTAAACAGAAGAGCTCAAAGAATTGTGATGTTTATATTTTTTTTCTCCTCTCTATTTTTCTCCGTCTCTCACCATCACTGTGTGTCTAGTAAGTCGTCGATGATTCGTTTACATGGTCTGTGTTTCCGATATATTCGTTCAGATTTGTTTTGTTTGTGGTACAGTCATTGTCTCTGTTGAAATTGTGTGATGTGCCTCAATTATGCACGTTCGCAATTCAATTCATTTGATTATTTGAAATCGTGTGTATCCCATGTAAATACTCAAACAATTCCAAGTTAACATTGGATATACGTTGAATCGTGTTGATTAGCTGCTATGCAGATTAATTTAAACAACAACGACGACGACAAAATTTCACATATACCCACCAATTTAGCTCTCTGTCTGTAATTAATCTGTCCTCGTGTTACTTTTATTACTCTTTAGGTAGATTTCAATGGAATGTAAAATAAGCAGCCCATTGACAAGGAGGTAAAGTGCGAAACGATATTGATACGGCATAAACAAATAGATAGACGTGAACAACGACAATTGACGGTTGACGGAAATCAGAACAGTGGTGAACAAACGGCAAAATAGTGTGTGATTCCCGTTCGAAATGGTCATTACAAAGATATGTTGCATTGGTGCTGGATACGTGGGTGGCCCCACATGCAGTGTTATCGCATTGAAGTGTCCGAACATTCGGGTGACCGTGGTCGATCTTAGCGTTGAACGTATATCACAATGGAACTCGGACAAATTGCCCATTTACGAGGTGAGTTTTATCATTTAGTTTATCATTGAAATACCTTTCAAAATGCTTGGCATTTTTGTGTTTCGGTTTTACTTTTGCGCTAGAGTCTAATTATATCTATGCATCACCGGCATTTTCGATCATTATTCAATTTTCAAAAACTAATCATATCTAAATCGATGTGGCTTTTTCTGAATAAAAACTCTTTTTGCACTGAGCTCAGCTGTTTCGCTTACTTTCAGCTGATTAGATTAAAATTAGCTACAATTCAAATAATCACGTTTGAATGTAGAACATAGCATTGAAGAATAGTCGATGATATTTGTTCGGAACCGTGCTCACTGCTGATACTATCCGATTTAGTTCTAATTGCTCACCACTATGATAACGAACATCACCTTAATGTTTTGATCACTTTACGTGACAACACTGTACGGAATATTATCTTTGTTCCATTTGTAATGTACAAATTTGTGTGAAAAATTAAAGCACACAGGCGTACGAAATGCAAATATGTGTATATTGAATTAGAGTTGAATAAGTAATGTTGTGCACATGGTACAGTGTTATTATTAAAGGCGATTAACGATTGTGATTTGAAGTTTTGATTCACAATTGTATTCATAATCATAATTACAATAGCTTCAAGCAAAGCAAAGCAAAACAAAACAAAACAAAACACAAAAACGGTTCAAGTATCAAATGATATGAAATTGAAAAAAAAGTGAAATCTAGCCATCGTGTATTTTAAATTATTCATACGATACATATGGCCTTCGAAGTGAATCATGAATGAATTCAATGAAATGCAAGCTCGTAATCAATGCAATAACGTACAGTGTAGCCTTTGCCATTACACGGATGTTACGATTTATTCGTGGCAAATTTCTTGTTATCTTCGGTTTCTCGTTTTTAATTTTACCGTTATTGATATTCGGTTCTGTGGCGACACTGGCAATAAATAATGCTAATTAGGCATGTCACGTCAATGTACGACGGTATAAGCGTAAAATGTTATAATCGTTCGATGACATCGCTTTAACGACGTCGCTTAGTGTGACTACATTTGTGATCCGGCTTCAAGAACTCAATGATTTCATCACGAATTTAAAGTTAAACAAATCGTAAAAGTACAATCGCCAACTGAAGTGTTGAGTATGATTGAAATTGGACAAGTGTTCTTAGCAACAAGAACAACAACAAAAACGGCGTGCAAAGAGAACAAAGAGAAATCTCTTTTTCCTGCCCAGACTTTTGAACAAACAACATTGAACAGTTGAAACTGAGTGACTATTGGTCCAAGTGGCCAAATTTGAAAGCCTAAACAAACAACTGGAACGTGACCAATTTCAGCCATAATTGATTTTTCAACCGATTTGCTGTCGCTTGAATTGATTGCTTCTAAGAATTCATTTTTTAAATGCTGATGTTTTTTCCTTGTTCTTCTTTCAGCCTGGCTTAGATGATGTCGTAAAGAAGTGCCGAAACATAAATCTGTTCTTTTCAAATGACATTGAAACTGCCATTGATGAAGCCGAACTGATCTTCATTTCAGTAAACACGCCGACAAAAACGTTTGGAAATGGGCGCGGCCGAGCTGCCGATCTCAAGTATGTTGAAAGTGCGGCTCGAATGATTGCCAAGGTTGCACGCAGCAATAAAATTGTGGTTGAAAAGAGTACGGTGCCGGTACGGGCCGCTGAAAGTATTATGCATATTTTGGGTGCCAACCAAAAGATGGGTACGTTCAATCGGAGTGTTTTTGTTCATTTGCGATGAAATATACTAAAATTCATATCAATTCATTACAGATGTCAAGTATGAGATTTTATCGAATCCAGAATTCCTCGCTGAAGGCACTGCCATTGATGATTTGTTGAATGCGGACCGTATTTTGATTGGTGGCGAGTGCACCGAAACTGGTTCGAACGCAATTGAAGAATTATCATGGGTTTATCAGCACTGGATTCCAAAAGAGAGGATCTTAACCACAAATACATGGAGCTCAGAACTGTCGAAGCTTGTAAGTTTCATTTAGAGAATATCTTGAGTATATTTTTGTTCATCAATGAACGTTTTTTCAAACGTCAAAATAAATGATTTCTTCTAACTGATTCCCTCTATGTCGTAGGCTGCAAATGCATTTTTGGCGCAACGAATATCAAGCATCAACTCATTATCGGCTGTATGCGAGGCAACCGGTGCCGATGTGACCGAGGTTGCCAAAGCCGTTGGTCTTGATTCGCGTATTGGTTCAAAGTTTTTGCAGGCGTCCATCGGTTTTGGAGGCAGTTGCTTTCAAAAAGACATTCTTAATTTAGTTTACATATGCGAAGGTTTGAATTTACCAGAAGTGGCCGCCTATTGGCAACAAGTCATTGACATGAATGAATATCAAAAAATGAGATTTTCACAAAAGGTATGAAAATGTGCCAAATGGAGCAATCAATTAAGAAATTGATTTGACCAAATTCTGATGATTGACCAACAAAATGTATTGCTTTTCGTTTCAGATTATCGAATGTCTATTCAATACGGTGTCAGATAAACGGATTACGATTTTTGGTTTTGCATTTAAGAAGAATACCGGTGACACTCGTGAAACGCCGGCAATCACGGTGTGTAAAACGTTGTTGGAAGAAGGAGCCAAACTCAATATTTACGATCCAAAGGTGGATCATCAACAAATTCTCGAAGATTTGACGCATCCAAGTGTGACGGATAGTCCAGAGTATGTGCGAAAGGCCATTGACATATTTGACAATGCATATGATGCAGTCAAAGACACGTACGCAATTGTGTTATGCACAGAATGGGACGAGTTTGTGGTAAGCATCTTAAATCAGCTTTCCCATTGTACATTTTTCATAAAATAAATCTGATGAATTTCATCATCATCTCTCTCTCTCTCTTTCGTTCAGGAATTGGACTACAGAGCCATTTACAGTAAGATGATGAAACCGGCATACATATTCGATGGCCGAAAGATACTGAAACACAAAGAATTGCAAGAAATCGGTTTTCATGTGCAAACCATAGGCAGAAAATTGAATCGAACCGGTTTGCTCAGGTCATGGGCAACACAGCAATAACATCAAACGAGTCAAATTTAAACAAAGAAACAAAAGTAACAGCATCAAACCGCATCATTTCTCTAAAAGTATTACCTTAAACAGTTTACATCGACACAAACACAAAGAGCAATGCGAGAGACAAACGAATTGCAATCTGTTAACAGTATAGAAGGCAACCGGGGACTCTTTAGAAATATAGGTCTTTATCATATTATACAATTGTTTAAAATTCATTGAATTATCTGGTACATTCGAATTGAAACATAAGAATCTGCGCCTGTAACGCATATGCCGTGCAGGTGCTTCGTATTAATTTAACTTCGATTTGTTTTGATAAGTAGAGGAAAATTGATATTGAATATTGTCACATTTTTTAATTAAATAACCACAGAACAAAACTTTTAATGATATTAAAGTAACGTGTCACAAAAATCTCATTGATCAATATCGTTGTGTCGCATTTTGCAAACACACACACACACACACACAAACACATCAAAATTAAACTTATCAAACTTAATTCTATTTATATCGACTCTTCCTTTTTCATGTGGGACTATGTAATGACTTCTGTTTATTCTTCTGTTCCGTCAATAACACATGTGCGGAAGCCAAACTCTCTGAGACAATAATAAACAGATTGAAAAAAAAAGAATACAATTCCTATGTTAATCGGAGCCGATGTCATAAAATAAATGAATGAGCAATTGAAGGGGAAGCATATTAATTAGAAACAAATTAACATATTGAGAAACTCGAAACAAAAATTGTGTAACTTATTTTCTATTCTCACTCGGAGAAATAAAACGAAATTTATTGTAACTTTAATAATCTCTATATTTTTTCAACTGAAACCATTTGTGATTCGATACAAAGTTTGTATTACAAACATTTAAACTAGTTCGATCGATTCAAACAATATTTATATGAAAACTTTAAATAAATTTATAATTCATTAAAACCTTTTTTTTGATCTACTAGAAGTGATTTCGTCTGTTTATAAATCGGAGGAGCATTCAAGTGGAATAATTTAAATAATCTCTTTTTGAAGGGGGCTTTTAATTTACATCGATTGAAATAAAAATTGAGATAAAAATTCAAATAATCGAAGAAAAAAAAACAGATTCGGTGTTTTATTTCCGGTGTCTATTCAAAAGTAAACAAAAACAATGCGCATGAAATTTGTAACATAGCAACCGAATGGAATTCAGGTGAAATGTTGTTTATTCAATACGGTTGAATGTTGAGTGAGCTCGATTAGTAGTGTTTCTGTATAGAAAAATTCTCTTTGGACAATGGTCGATCCCGAATTTGCCGATAAAATTGAAGAACTTGAACACATAGCTATATTTGGATTTGATGGTATTTACACTTGAAATATTGTTTTGACTAAAACGCTAAATGTATTCACAAATAATTAGGTACTAAACCAAGTGGATTGAAATTGCATCAAAATCACTTAGTTTTTCCGCTTGGCAGCAAAATCTCCATTCTAAATGTTGTAAACAATAAGCAAGAATTTCTGTGCGGTCACACAAACACGGTATCAACCATAGCTGTCTCAAAATGGTGATAGAAATGAATGTTCATGAAAAGTGCGTTTTTTTTCCTCATTGAAATGGTATTATTGTTTCAGCGGAAGATACGTTGGGTCTGGGCAGATAAGTCAGAGCGGAAGCCGTGCGTATGTAATTCTATGGGATTGGGCGAGTCGGAAAGAGATCAACCGATATCAATTACACAAGGCAAGCCTTACTCTTAATAAATATATATATATATTCTCTCTGAAACATGTCATTGTCTATTAGGATGAAGTACGTGCATTGTGTTTTTCATCGGATGGCGAGCATTTGATAAGCTTGGGTGGTCTTGATGACGGTCGATTAGTTGTCTGGAATATAGCAAAAAGGTTTGTTCTACAACATTCACATATACGTTCCTCCCGTTGTACACGATTGCATTTTAGAACGGCCATATGCGGTGCGTCAGCCAAAAATGAAGTCACTGGTGCAGCGTTTGCATTGTGCGCTTTGCACAAACTCGGCAACATCTTTTTAACATGTGGCGAACGTAAGTCCAATACTCAAGTAAAACAAAAAAACATATGTTGCATTTTAATGCACTTCTTCAAACAGAACATCTTCGAATCTGGCACATTGATACGACAAGCAACAAACTCAATGTGCTCAATGCAAGTCTTGGGAAAATTCGCCGAAACTTCACGTCGATGATAGTTAGCGCTGACGATTCAACAATATATGCGGGCACAATGACCGGTGATATTGTGAAGTTGAGACTGAATTGTCGCCAAAATGAGTTCAATAAACCGACACTCATCGGTGCTTATGGACGCCATAATCCCAGAAAACCTCTAGGCAAAGACTGCGAGAAATATATGAACGGCGTCCGTGACTTGATCTACTTGAACAATGAACGACAACTGTTGATTGGTGCTGGCGATGGAACCATTGAGTTGGTCGAAGAACGCAATATTTTTATCAAAGACTATCCACTACCAACGTGGCCTATGTTAAAGGCAGTAAGCTATTATACCAGAATACATGTATTCTCTTTTGCTCAATGAAATTACGTTGTTGTTATTTTTACCAAAAAGCTGAAACGGAAGAAAGTGAACGGATGCGTGACATCTCTTCAGCTGCACAGCAATCAAACCGTTTATATTGGAACGGATTCATGCGAAATTTACACACTCGAATATCAAACATTCACGTTAAAACTGCAAATCACTTGCAACAGCTGCATCGTTAATGATATCGCATTTCCGAAGTTAGAATGAGTCTTCAGTTGAATAAATTTTTAGATTTCTTTTGGTAAATTTGAAAATAATCAAACAAAAAAATCTTTTTTTTTTTCAGTAATTTTTCATCAGTTTTTGCAACGGCAAGCTATGAATCGGTACGAGTTTGGTCATTGATGAAAAAACAGGAACTTTTGCGCATTGTGGTACTAAACTTTTCGGCTGCGGCCGTTGTTTTCTCTTTTGATGGACAAAGCATCATAACTGCCTGGAATGATGGTGTCATCAGAGCATTTACACCTCTGACTGGCAAACTGATTTATGCTATATCGAATGCACACAACAAAGGTAAATAATTGTTTACTTAATGGGAAAAGATAGAAAATTAAATCAAAAGAGTGAAGAAAATGACTTAAAAACCAATAATATCTTCAGGTTGCTCAGCATTGACGATATCAAGCTGTGACAATTTACTTGTGTCTGGCGGAAATGAAGGCCAGATTCGAATTTGGAGAATCGACACTACGCAACAAAATCTCATAACCGTTTTAAAAGAGCATACCGCACCAATTGCATCTTTGCAATTCAACTGTTTCGACCGTGAAATTGTGTCATCCTCCAGCGATGGGACGTGCATCATTTGGGACATAACGTTAGTATTTCGATGAATTTTGTTGCATATGCAGTAATCGTGCCGAAAATATCTTTCGTCTTCTTAAAATTGAATTCAGGCGTATGATTCGTAAGCACGTTCTCTCGGCAAACACTCAATTTACCTGCGTTCAATTCTTCCCGACTGGAGTTCAAGTCTTGGCCACTGGAACTGATCGAAAAATTAGCTACTGGGAAGTGTTTGATGGCAGCTTAGTGCGACACATCGAAGGAAGTTCAAAAGGATGCATAAACTGGCTTTCGATCAATTCATCGGGTGAAATGTTCGTGAGTGGCGGTGTCGATCAAATTGTCAAGGTATTTTTTCGAAATATTTTTGAACTGCATGTGCCGAATTCCGATTTGGTATAATATTTGGAAAGTGGTTTTTCCATAGTTATGGGACTATCAAACGGCATTACAAGTCGCAGCTGGCGTGGCTCATGCTGCAAGTATTGTATCTTGCCGATTCAGCCCATGCGGGAAATTTATTGTAACTGGCAGTACAGATGGTGCAGTTATTATTTGGAAAGTTCCACAGGTACACAAAAGATGAAACACAAAATACGACGAATATTTTTTGCTATTATTCAAAATATTTCACATTCTCCCAAAGAAATATTGGCCAAAACCAAATGCCGATCCATTGAATGTGTCATCGATTGAAAGTGTGAAGAAGAAATTCTCGAAATACGAAAAGCGGCCCGAAGATATCAAACATGTCGAATCAAATCGATCGAAAAAGGATTTGCAAATTTTTGAATGTCCACCAATGAAAGCTGACACACATACACCGAAAAGTCACAAATCCACCAGATCTTCGAAAACAAACAACAGCCGGAAAAATTGATTTCTAATAAAACATTTTATTCGTAACTTAAAAAAAGGCATAGATGAGTCTTTTCGTTTCGATTTCTGAATAAAGAGACATTATTTGGCATCACAAGGATTTCGGTATGGTTTTTTTTACAGAGAGACTCGATGATATGGTAAATTTTCACTTTCCACGGCTGTGGCATGTGATTAAATGTCATTGGCGCTATCATCGCTGATCAAAACGCGTAGGAATTCGCGAATCTTCTCGCGAGTTTGCTTGAGTTGAGGAAAATCGCTGTTTTTCGGCTCGTACATATTGGCGCAGTGGGCTGTTGTGGGTAAACAGGGTTTGGTGCCTACAATAACCATTCAATGTGACCAGTATGGGAAAACTGATTTAATGAAAATTTAAATGAAACAAATCAATCATCTGCGAAGAAGCATGGCCGAAATCATCAACGAGGGTGACTCAGATGAGGAGCTGCGAACGAAACGCTCGGCAATTCTATCCGAACTTGACGAACGTTTCTTTATTGGTTACTTCAACATATTCCTTGACACATTTTTCGCCATTTGCCGAAATGCCAGGACCTTGATCATAACGGCGTTGTGATGTTGTCGACCAAAGCCAAAGTACAAAAATTGGAGTTACCACACTACACCATGGAACCATTAAGCACCATGGAAAGCAGAAGAAGCGCATGCAAAATGTTCGATCT